CTTCGCTCGGCTGACAAACAATATTGGTAGGCCAAAATTCAGGGCTTTCTCTTAGCCAGAGAGGTCCCTTAAACCACTCCGAGTTAATCATTTGTTTAGCAGAGCAACCCTCGAGATAACACATCTGCTGGGTTCATATTACCAGGCACATGGGCTCCATGATTCAGGTTTTGTCAACTTAGTAATTTCTTTAACACGATTGCTTACAAAGTTCGACCAATTACCAGGATTTCTGATCCACCATAATGCGACTGTGGAATCACACCATAAAGTTACATTTATATCAAAATCATTAAGAGCTTTACAAACAGAATATAATAATCGGGATCCAATGCAACAGGACATTAATTAATTCCAATCTAGGAATCGTCAAATTCTTAATAGGAGCTACTCTAGATTTTGCTCTTAAGAGAGTAAGTTTTTACACTGCATGTAAATCAACACTTCTCGCGAAAATACATCCTGCATAAGCATATTTGCAGCATCGCATCGACAAATACATGCAATTCAACTGTTGCAAAGGTTCCAATGAATCGGGGTATTGCCACATTTTTTCAGCAAAAGTATATCGGATAACCACACAAAAAATTTACTTACAAAATCATGAGGCAATACCCCGTCCCAAGAAAATTTCAACTTCCATGTTTCTTGTAACAAAAGTTTTGGAAGCAAAGTTATTGGTGCAAGTATTCCAATTGGATCAAAAATTGATTGTACAATAGACAGAATCAGTCTCTTAGTTACCTTAGTATCACAAGTTATCATATTTACATTTATATTACACCTTAAAGTATCATTGTCTAAATTCCACAATATTCCTAAAAGAGGTGTGTCCCCAGAATGTTTTGTAGTATATTTGGAAGCAACATTGCTCTCCCATCCCCTTAAATTAAATCTGCCTCTCGACATAAGACTTTTGGCCTTTTGAATTAAATCCTCTTGTTCCTCAATATTGTAAACACCCGTAATACAATTATCTACATAGAACGAATTTTTTAATTTGTCAGCCACATCTAAAAAGTCAGATGGACAATTATTCAAGAGATATGCTTAATAGAACGCACCTAGTAGATAAGGGCTGCAGGAAATCCCAAAAACTACTCTGCAGTGCCTATACACTATTTCTCCCTCATCACTTGGATAGAAAAATCGCAAGTAATCTCTATCCTTCGGAGAAATTCCTAACTGCAAGAATGCTTTCTCTATGTCTGCACTCAGACCAATAGGAAAAAATCTCATTCTGTCTAAAATATCAGGGACTAATTCTATTAAATTAGGTCCTTTCAATAAACACTGATTCAAAGATGGTTTTTTCCTTTTCGCAAGATGAAGCATCAAAAACGGGTCTTACCTTAGTGCTTTCACTATTCATCTTAATAACCGGTCTGTGTGGTAAAAAGTGGCATTTATTGTTTAATTCCTTTTCCGGAACCTTTTCTATAATATTTAAATTTTCCCACTCTCTAAACACTTCTTGATATTCCTTCAAAGAATTATTTTCTTTTGCCCTCTTTATCATTTTTTGATGACGTGTGAAAGCAATGCTTTTATTATCTGATAAATTGGTAGATTCGCATTTCCAGGGTAATTCTAATTCATATCTACCATCGGGCCAAATAGATAATTTATTCTGAAAATCAATCTCATAGTCGCAATGAAGATTTTTCATTTTACTATTTTCCGTCGGGTCGGAAATACCCAAAACTTCAAGCTCCCATAAAGATTTCAAAGAAGCATTATTTACATGTAAGGAAAGACTTATTAGGGCATTATCCCTGACAGTATCATTTTCTTTACCCATAACCGTCCAACCCAGTTTTGTTTTGACTGCAGTTAAACCAGAGGGTAATTCTAGGTATTCGTCAGTTAACAGTTTACCAATGACATCTGCACCTATCAATAAATCAATTTCACTTTCCTCGCAAAATGTGTCACTGACCTCAATTTTCCTGCTTTTCAATTCCTCTATAATCTGAGCATTCTTGATTGTTGGAACAAATCCACATATCTTTTTTTCAGAAAAAGCTTCAAAACAACACCTAAAAGTGTTATCTAAACTGCTTATGTCAATAGCAAAAACAGAATGGGTTACAGGCGCAGTTTCCCTCCCCCCAAACAAACCATGAATTACTTTCTCCTGTCGAATAGGATCAGCCTTCATTCGCTTCATAATTTTCTCCCCAACGTATGATCGTTGGGATCCCGAATCCAAGAGAATCCTAATTTTTCTCTCTCGATCTTTAACTTTAATTAGAACACATAAAGTTTGCAAATAAACTTTCTCGCTCTTACTATTATTAGAAAGGGAAACATCCAACTTAGAGTCATTTTGTTTTACAGAACTAACATTCTGAGGACACATAAATTTTATATGATCACAACTGCAAATGGGGCATTTAATATTGGCTTTACATTGGTTTTTTAAATGGCCAATTCTTAAACATGAAAAACAAACACCTTTCTTTTGTACAAGTTGCCTCTTTTCATTTAAGCTCATATTTTCAGCTTTAAAACACTTAGCACTCATATGAGGCTTACCACAAAATATACAAACATTTTGCTTACCTTTACTGGTTTCATTTGTACTTACCAGCGCGGCAGCTGTTGCTAAATCTGAATTACCTGAAAGAACATTTTTATTAAGACGCTTAACAGAATGAGTAAATCCTGATTGTGCTAATCTAATCATTTCTTCCGATTCTACTTCATGCCTTAAAAAACACATTAGTTTTTCAAGCGTTCTTTCAGAACTCTTTTCCTGTCCCTGTTCAGAAGTTCGACTCCGCTCCCAGGCACGTAGAATATTCTCAGGTAGGCACGACTCTACTAAAGGTCCCAAGAAATCAGCAAACTTTTCCTTGGTGCGTCCTAAGCTTTCCAGCGCTCGTAATTTACTTTCTATACTATCATAAAGTACTCCTAAGTCCGACGCTGTTCTGCCTGTTGTAGCATTCTTTGTAACAAGCCCAAGCAAATCTCTTACATAGATCTGCACCAGAAGGTCTTTCTCTACCAAATCTTTCTTTCTTTCAGCTGCTCGATAGCTTTAGGATAATTCGCGGCGGTAACAGGAAAACTGTTCAAAAGTTGAGCTGCCTTTGAGCCAGGCTCAACTTTTACTGCACTTTGCACTAAGTACAAAAATTTATCTTCCGGCACAATATCCGCATCTTCATGAATTTTGGAGAATTGGCTCCAAAAGCCTAAAAATTCTCTTGCATCTCCAGAAAATTTTTTCAGCTCAAGCTTAGGAAGTTTGAACTTCCTGTTTTTATTTTCTTTAGGATCCGAAATCGAAACTGAAGCAATATCTGTAGTAACATTCGTCGAATTCAATTGTCCAATTTTATTCTGAAGTTTCACCTTTAAAGCTATAAAGGAATCTCTGTATCCTTCAGCCGTATTAAATTCATTTTCAAAATCAGCTTCCTTGGTTTGTTCTAAAACACTGCTTTGAGTACTGTCCAAGCGTTCAAATTTGTCAATTAGTTGCCCCAACAACACTTGCAATCTCTCAGGATCCGTACAAGTAGGCAATTCTTCTTCCACAATCTTCGTAGTTAACGTAAACGAAGTACGTTCACTTTTACGTTTTGCTTTTAACAACTCCATTTTAACAAAACGCCTAAATCAAAACTACTCGAAATCACACAAACGTCCTGTCGCGGACGCCAAACTTTTATGTTGAAACTAAATAACGTTTGCATAATCCGAGTTCAGAAAACAAAACATTTATTTTACATATTTTAAAGAAATAACGTTCTGAAACAACATGTTTCATCTACACAATCAATCGACGCTTTCACCAGAGCATTACGCCATCAAACTTGGCACACATCCAAAAGTTCAAATTGAAGAATTACAGAAGCGTTGTTGCCACACAAGAAAAGACATATAGTTACAACTTCACACAATAATAAAACAAAAACACACTTTTGAAAAATAGACAATAATAATAAAAATAGTAATAATAAAATTCTTAACAATATTTTCTCGATTATGCAACAATCTATTAACATTTTACAAAGGACAATATGAATAGTATTTCATTAACTAATACTTGTCTTACTTCAAAATATATTTCATGATATTTTAGCCTATTTTACAAAGATACTTTGGTACTTAAATATTATTGCAATCACTTTGGCACAGTTTCTCGAATTTTATGGAAGACGGACAATTCTTTTTATTGTAAATATTATATATTACATTCATATTCAATATTTCAACAATATATCTGTTCCAAAAGGCAATCAATAAACCTAGTTACAAAAGGGTTTGTGTTTTTGTTTTGATGGGAACTTAGTGGCAATTGCTTTGAGAAAGAATTCAAAACATTGTTTCTTTAGCAATTTTGTGACAAAATAATGCATTCCTGCAGAAATTTCACCTTTTTTTCTTCTATTACAGAAAAATCCTACAAGCACAAATTTTAAAATCAAGTTTAAGACAAAAAATAATCATAATTTTCCTATAAAAGACTATTGGAACTTTGAGTACAGCAAAAAGAACACATACAAAAATGGCGATTTATCAATGAGTATTGGTCATGCACATCGTTGCCTGAATAACTGTTATGCATGTGGATACCAGAGTTTGGCATATTCTGAAGCTTTGGTGAATTCTACTAAGGTGGTTGCGATAATATGCAAGTACCGATACGTTTTGATAACAGATCAAAATAAAATGTTATAAAATTTCTAGTGAGGAATAAGATATTTTCAAACATTCAACTAATAGTACATAATTTAATTAATTATGAAGACAAAGTTTTACACTATTGTACATAATTTTATAAATAATAATAATTAAATTTGATTGCAAAATTATAATTTATGAATTGTTCTCACATTGGAAGACACATTCAAAAATTATAAGAAAAAAAATTTGTAATTGAAAAAAAGGATTCTTTTTACAAACACACTTTTTTTCTATATGTAGTACAAACCAGTCACATTCAGAATGCATTACCTGTAATTTATGTACAGACATACACTTACCTGAATGCATTTTACGGATATATTCCTCTTCAGCTTCAGAAATAATGTCAGATTCTTTATCGGTAAAAGATGGTCGTCTGCCATCAGAAATCTCTGTTAGAGAGGACTTTCGGCTATAGCCTTCATCAATAGATGAACGGCTAGAGCCTTTATCAATGGATGATCGGCTGGAAGCTTTATCAATAGATGACCGCCTAGCAGCTTTTTCAAGAAGAAGATCTACGTTCCAAGGTTTAACTCCTTTGCCATCACTGTAGAACATTTCAGCAAATTATTCACTTTTAACTACTTTACAAAATTCACATGAAAAGAACATTAAGAATATTACTGATTTTCTTTGACAAAATGCAATCCAATCATATGTATTTCAAAATTTAGATTTAAAAATATAATTGGCTCTAAAAGCAAATAATCAAATATTCTAAACTTATTCTATATGGAATTTTATCACTAAAATATTAGGGTATAAACATTATCAGCTACTACAACTTTAATTTGTTATCCTTAATAACCAAAAAAAAATTCAGAGATGGGAAGTAAGCATTCAGTTTTGAGCCTGAGAATTTTATGATCTCTCACTTTTGAGTGTTTAATTTTAGAACAAAAAATGAAAAGAAATATAACACTTATTTATTACAATAATTATTAAAATTAATTAAATAACTATAATAATCATTCATTGTCATATAATTATCACATCTAATCATTAAGAAATTTTTTCAATATTAATGCACATGCATTTGGGTAGTCTAGACTTTAAGGTACCTCTTGTATTACGGCGAAGTTGTTTGATTTATCGCCAAGTTGTTGTTTCATTTATGGTAGCCTGAGTAGTTGAATGTTATGGAAAAACCCTATTGTGACGTAATCGGGTGCATGTTTCTGGGAAATTTTGAATCATGGGATGTTTTGTAAGCGTTTTTGTGGTGTGTGTTAGTTTGATTTTTTAGACGGTAGAATGGCAGAATGTAGTAAGATTAATTTGAAGTTTCTGTACGATTTGGAGCGAAAGGGAAAAAGATCTTTAATTGACTGTTGTGTAAATGAAGGTTTACTTAGTAGCCATTATAAGTGTTCTGTATGTAGGAAGGATATGCGTCTAGTCGAACGTAAAAACCGTTTAGATAGATTTGAATGGGTTTATAGGAAGAAAGGTTCAGATGGTCACTACGTGAAGCGTTCGATCAGAAAGAGAACCTGGTTTGAAAAAAGTCATTTGAGTATGACTGATATTTTGATTTTTATGTGACTCTGGGTGTACGAAGCGAACTCGAAAATCATGGTAAGTGAATATTTGCTTTTGGTAGTGCTTAAATGTATAACATGTTTTTCCTTTTTTATGTTATTTTATTGAGATTATGTATTTTTTGTTTGCCTATATTGTAGAATTTGGTGCTCCTTTGACTTTTTAAGTGAAAATATTTTGATGTGTACATGGACAAAATAAAGGGAGTGCGCAATGCAAGCTTGTGCAATTCTGGGATTTTTGTTTTTTAAGTGAAAATAGGTCGACGTGTACATGGACAAAGTTAAAAGATTGCGCAACGCCATTTTTGTGCAATTCGCGGATTTTTTTTTTAAGTGAAAATATGTTGACATGTACATGGATAAAGTCAAAGGAGTGCACAATGCCATTTTTGTGCAATTCGAGTTTTTTTTTTTTTTTTTTTTTTTTTTTTTTTGTCTTTTTTTAAGTGAAAATAAGTCGTGTGTACATGGATATCGAGTTTGTGCAATTGTTTGTCTTGTTATTTTGGCTTTGTGTAGCATCGCCGCTTCGCATGCCAAAATAACAAGTCAAAGAATTGCACAAAATCGGTATCCATGTACCGCCAAAAATCGCCAAGGGGTACCCTAAACTATACTTTTACCCAAGCATTTTAGCTCAAAGATCATACAGATGTAAAAGTATTACTAATTAAAGTATAATTATAAAAATTGTCATTATAAAATTATAATTAATTATAATTTTATAATGACATTTAATTATTAATTAATTAATAATTAAATGTCATAAAATTATAATTAATTATAATAATTCAGGACCAGATTGAGAAATATATGTCTGCATGGATGGATGGGTTCATGTATGCGTGTATGTGTCTATACACATATATGTATAGTACATCCACATGTGCATATATGCATACATTTCTGAATCCGGCCTCAATAACAAGAAAATATCCAATTATTTATTACACTTTATCATAAAATTAGGTACACTAATCACAAAATATAAGTTTTGAAAACGTTCATATTTTTACCAATATATAAATAACATAAATAAAAATCACAAAATTAAACACAATATAATCAAACAGTTAATTACACATGAGGATCAGCATATTATCTTCGATTACTTAAAAGTAATTTTCTGCTTAAGTCTGTGCTCTTTGTTCACATTGAAAATAAAGAGGGAAAAAAAATAAGAACAGTAAAATCCTGACTATATGATTCATGCCCGTTCATTTGTGAATAGATCAATTCAAACGGCTCATGCATCTTAGTGCTTATGGTCATGTCTGTTTCGGCTAAATTATACCTCTGCTTTTGAATTTTTGAAAGGTAACTGGCTTATGAAACCTAAATCAATTAGTAAGATGAAATTACAAAGAAAAAACTGTGGTGGCTTTGACTAAATTTGTAGAAATGCTAGAATCATTAAGATGTGATACTTGGGATCATTTGTAACAAGTTAAATTTGAAGAAGATTTTTCTCTAACTTTTAAACTGGTTAAAGGAGGAAAAAGAAAAAAAAAAAAAAAAAAAACAGAAATAACTGCAAGGGAAGTTTTTTCCCTCAAGGTAATGCATATATTAACATACTGGTAGAAGGTTATTTATGTATATATGTATGTATTTATGTGTGTGTGAAACTATTTTGAAGTTTTTTTAATTAACATTAGAAAAAATAAGCATATAGAGAAAGGCAAGTCAAATTTCAGCAAAAGAACATATGACAGAGGCCATATATATATATATATAATCGTCAGTTAATTTTTGGTAGAAAAAGACAGGATCAAGAAAGATGTTCGACTGCTGCACATGATAGGTACAGAAAATAGTACTAAAGTTACACAGAACTGAATAGAGAAAGATTAACAGTTTATTCAAATATCTGGATGGCATATTTGAGCCTGACAGGTTATAAGCAGTTGAAGATAAAACTTTCTCATGAATTTTATTAATCCTAAAATAGGATGTCACATACACAGCAAAAAAAGTATCAGGAGAAGTTCTTATTACTATCTTAAGGAGATCTTACCCTTCTGTGACAGCGTATAGTTTCAGAAGGCATAAAAGAAAGGGAGAGGAATGATGTATTGATATTAATATCTCTCATAATTTCTTTTTTGAAGATTGTGAATCACATTAAACGAGAGAAATTTAAAATTTAATTTAGCAAGTCTTTTTTTTTTTGGGGGGGGGGGGGGTAAAATCCTGTTTCAATAATAACTACACTCCTTGATTTAAAAAAAAAAAAAATTAGAATTTTTAACTACAAAGCTTTCATATTTAAGATTATTACTTTATATCCCATCTGACAAAAAATTATAATAATTAAAATTTATACACTATGCAATTCAGTAAGCAGAATAAACTAATCCCAATTTTACTCTATTCTATGGGAATTTTAAACACTCCAGAATGATCTTGAAACTAAAAATGACATGAAAATATTGATAAGATTATTTACATACTGTTTTATTTCCCATTTGTGTACCTAATGACCAAAATTCCTATGATTCAAATTTTATATACTATGCAATTAACCAATAAGTAGTATTTCTATTCTGATAATAATACGGCCACAAAATGTTCGCATTGTTTATGTCCACTGGATACATTACTTTTGATTTCATGAACATGCCTTTTTTATACGACCATAATTGCTAAAAAATGTAAATAATTTTATACTCAATTTCATATATCATTCTTATTTGCATGTTAACCTGATCTACTAATAAAATTCCTGTTATTTTTTCAAACTTCCTCTAGATAAATTTTGATGTGAGAAGAAAAAATGTTATCAAAAGTAATTGATTATATTACATCTGTTCCTAGGTTCTTCAGTCTTATAATCCAATTTGAGAATGTAGAAAGTGTCAAAACTGCTCTTATTATTTCAGTCAAACCTTGCTTGCAATTACTAGATAAATCCTAATGATTTGTATAATCAATTATAACAATGATTTAAAATGATTATTACCTACTTCATTATGCATTTTACCCTTTCTCTGCTACTCGATTGTATTATAACAAATTTTAATCAATATCTAAATGTAAAAATTACTGAAATCATAATGTAGAAAGATTCCCTTAGATACTATGGAAACAACATACAAGCTATTTACTTGCTGTTGGATTAAGGACTACCAAAAATGATGAAAACTTAAATGACAGAATTATAAAATCGAATAATAGTAATGGCTTTGAAATAGTCTTGTCTAGTGATGACTTCTCTAATGATGATAATGAAGTTTTCTACTTAAAGATAAACATATAAAGAGAGAAACAATAAATGCAACACCTTCAAAAGCAACAAGAAAAATATTGTGAAGAAATTAATAGGCTCTTAACTAAACGCCTGGGAGAATTTCGGAAAAAATCAAAGCCTTTCTGAAAATACCTGATAGCAATATGATTGACAAAATAATAAAACATTCATTTTACTACATATTTATTTATAATGAAAGCTGCTGATTTTTTGCACTAATTTAAGTATTTTATGCTTTATATGGAAATGAAAGAGAAAATAATTTTAAAAATTAATCGGCTAAATTTAAAATTAGGTTAGGTTAGGTTATTTAATTACAGCAAAGCCTCACGGGCTATCTGCCTAAGGAGAGGGATGCCTTCGCAGTGGACTTTCTAAGGGAAACTGGCTCATATACACGTTACACATCGGGAAAACCACGAAAACACCCATGCAGCCAGCCCATTCGCAAGATTCAAACCTCTGACCGAACTACCAGTGTTCAGCGACTTTACCACTCGGCCGCTGGTGGGCCTAAATTTAAAATTAAATGATGAAGTTAAATAAAAATGTCTTACTTTTAGTAGAAATAGAAATAATACAGAATGCTTTATAATGGTGGCTTTGTACACTGCTCAAAAAAAAAAAAAAAAATGGGACAGTCCTATATCTCCTGATCTACTGGGCCGATTGACAAAATTCAAATTGCGTTCTTCATGTCTCAAAAGCGCGACTTAGGATATATATTAGATTTATATATAGCACTATTCTAAC